TAGTTTGGGGTCCATGGAGTAATTTAAATTCTTAGTCAGTTTACTGATTGAACTTTGTTTTGAAATTTCCCAAAATAGGGAACAAGGAACTAGAAGCTGCTTCAATCCTTCAGTCCTCTTTTAATCAAGGTGTACTAAAAATGTCATTTTCGCTTGAAGGTTTTTAATAAGGGGCATCCTTATTTCACATCCAATTACACAATGCAACACAATTTTTGGTTCCTGGGTTATAAATTTCATTTCCTAATTAGTTCTATCATAAAAACATGGAAAACATTTTGTTGTTTATTCGTTCAATTGCTCTTCGTGCCGTCATGAACCAGCCCACGTCAGAGCTGCAAAAACGATGTTTGTGCAGGACATCCTACAGCACATTTTGCTATAGTTTTTCAATGAATATCTCATAGAGTCTCAACCAATTCATCATAGTTTGTGGCAGCCACAAAAATGAAGTTTCTGGAGTATACCAACTACTTTCAAAGTAAGTACTGCATAATTAAACAGGAACAACACGTTCAAACCGGGAACAGAACATTTTTCAAATTTTGTTATATAGTGTTATTGTCCATCTAACGCGGCTTGATTATGAGTGGCTTTCTGAGGTCTCAGACAGCAATTTCATAGTAAAATCATAGAATCATTGAGTTGGAAGATACCTCGTGGGCCATCCACACCAACCCCCTGCCAAGAAGCAGGAAAATCACATTCAAAGCACCCCTGACAGATGGCCATCCAGCCTCTGTTTAAAAGCCTCCAAAGAAGGAGCCTCCACCACAGTCCAGGACAGCTCTCACCATTAGGAAGTTCTTCCTAATGCTCAAGTGGAATCTCCTTTCCTGTAGTTTGAAGCCATTGTTCTACGTCCTAGTCTCCAGGGCAGCAGAAAACAAGCTTGCTTCCTCCTCTCTATGACTTCCCTTCTTATAGGTTTATACATGACCATCATGTTTCCTCTTGGCCTTCTCTTCTGCAGGCTAAAGATGCCCAGCTCTTTAAGCCACTCCTCATAGGTATTGTTCTCCAGACCCTTGATCATTTTAGTCACCCTGCTTTAGATACATTCCAGCTTGTCAACATCTCCCTTAAGTAGCTGATACCTGAGTTTTCTTTTTTTACTGGAATTCCCAGAAGATGAATTTGGGATCTTGTCCATGCAAAGCATATGATCTATCACAGATGTATGGTCCCTCATTTTTCTGAAGTTATTTAAGTATTCCACTTGCTGATACTTAAATAACTTCAGACAAATGAGGAACCATACATCAGTAAAACCTTTCATGTCCTACTTATCAGCTTCTCATTGAGACACCTGATTGGATACTGTGGAAGCTGAATGTTAGACTAGACAGGACCTTTTTTTGATCCTACACAACTTTTCTTCACAATTTGGAAGTAATGTGGGGGCAACTTACTTTTTTGGGGGTAACAGGCATAAGGCAATTTTAGTGTTGCATATTGAAAACTGTAGAGAATTTCTGCAGCTTTAATGTCTGTCTAAAAGAGGGAACTTCTGCAGGTGTTTGCTTGTCATGCAACCAGGTTAACATGCAACACTTGTTTCACACACCCATTAACATTCAATACATCTTCTCCAGTTTTCACTCTAGTCACCTAACAAAAGGAAACACTTAGTTACCTTATTGGTGTAAAGAGTGATGTTTCATAGTTATTTTACAGGGTCCTCCTTTATGGTTCCATTAAAGCAATTTCAGAGGATACATCAAGTTTCAGGAGTTATTTTGAGAGATTTATGATCCCTTTGGATTTTTACAACTTTATTTTTAGTAAAAGGTAAATTTGAGAGGATAGTGACAAGGATTTTTTTTTGAGCTGGTGCTATTCTCTTATCAATTCTAAGGTTGTTCCTTGCAAAGGCAATGAAGCGTTATGAAAAATGGCAAGTCACAAAATGAGCTACTTTTACAATTATTACAATAAGTAACAGTAATGAATAGCCCAGTGGACATAATAACTTGTAATGGGGATGACTTGTGTTTAAAAGGTCTTTCTGGGTGTTGTCGAAGGCTTTCATGGCCAGAATCACTGGGTTGGTGTGAGTTTTCTAGGCTGCATGGCTATGTTTCAGAAGCATTCTCTCCTGACATTTCTCCCACATCTATGGCAGGCATCCTCAGAGGTTAAGGGGGTCTGTTGGAAATTAGGCAAGTGAAGTTTATATATATGTGGCATGTCTATGGTAGGAGAAATAACTCTTGTCTGCTTGAGGCAGATGTCAATGTTGCAAGTGTCCACCTTGATTAGCATGTAATGGCCTTGCAGCTTCAAAGCCTAGCTGGTTGCTGCCTGGGGAATCCTTTCTTGGGAGGTGTTAGCTGACCCTGATTGATTCTTGTTTGGAATTCCCCTGTTGCTCTTTATTTACTGTCATGATTTTGGAGTTTTTCAGTAGTGGTGCCCAGATTTTGTTCATTTTCATAGTTTCTTCCTTTCTGTTGAAATTGTCCACAGGTTTGTGGATTTCAATGACTTCGCTGTGCAGTTTGACATGGTAGTTTATATAGTGGTCCAGCATTTCTGTGTTCTCAAATAATACGTTGTGTCCAGCTTGGTTCATCAGGTGCTCTGCTTTGACTAACTTCTCTGGTTGAATTAGTCTGCAGTGCCTTTCATGTTCCTTTATTTGTGTTTGAGCAATGCTGCATTTAGTGATCCCTATTTAGACTTGTCCACAGTTGCATGGTATACGGTAGACTCCTGCAGAGGTGAGAAGATCCCTCTTGTCCTTTGCAGAACATAGCATTTGTTGGATTTGCATAGTAGGTCTGTAGATAGTTTGTATGTTGTATTTCTTCATCAGCATCCCTATGTGGCAGTGCTACATTCAGCAAAGGACAAGTGGGATCCTCTCACTTCTGCAGGAATCTACCGCATACCATGCTAATCAAGGTGGCCAATTGCAACATTCACACCTGCCTCAAGCAGACAAAAGTTCTTTCTCCCACTCTAGACATTCCACAGATATATAAAACTCATTTGCCTAGTTTCAAATAGACCCCTCAACCTCTGAGGATGCCTCCCATAGATGTGGGTGAAACATCAGGAGAGAATGCTTCTGGAACATTGCCATACAGCCTGGAAAACTCACAGCAACCTATCTTTCTGGGCTCTACTACTTACTCTTTTTGCAGGTTGAATAGTTTCTGTCACAAACTCACATATGGTCAGTTCCTTCATTATTCCAGGTCTTTCATTGTTCATTATGTTTCTGCTGATCTGTCTCATCCATCATTTTGGGTCACCTAGAAAAAGTAACACTGATGCCTCTCACTTAACCTGAAAGCAGGTAAAGGAAGGAATTAAATAATGTAGATGTGAGTATGAATAAAGGGAAGGGAGGACTTCAGAGCAGAATGTGATGATTTAAGGCTGAGCCAAAACCTTTTGCTACCTGAGGATGATCTTTAAATCATCCTTTACTTTACTTGTGTGATGTCCACAAGAAGGAAGGATTTAGGCTGGATGATTGTTGGGAGTCAGAGAAGAGAGGGATTTTTTTTAAAATGCATGCTTCTTGGCCTCTTCATACATTACGTTTTTAGCAATACATCAACAAAGGTAAAGGGTAGATGAAACAAAACATTTGGAAAAGCATATTTATAGAGATATACATGGGAGGGAGGTGGCATGTGACAGATTCAGCATTCCTTTAGCGAAGGTGTAGAACAAGCTGAAGAAATTGTATTGATACCTGTCTGTTCTACACTCTCAAAAAGTTGAGAAAACTGTCTTGTGAGATGTACACAGATTTGCCCAAACATCAGGGCTGAACCTCTTTCAGAGGTGAACAGCTCTGTCATACATCTTTGAAATTCTCATCTCCGATCACTGATTTAAGGAACAATGGCTTTCCATGGACTCTCAGTCTCCTTTTATTCCCAGAAGATGTCTTTTATCCATAGATATTGTTGTCGGTGTTGCTTTTTCCTGAGGTTCTTCTCCCCTATAGTTGCCCCTTAGCGCTTTTTATTCTTCTGGAAACAAGAGCACCGCAATAGTATCTCGTCCGAATGTGCAGAAAGGCCTTGCTGCAACCGGGCCTGGGGGAAGGCCCACGTGCCTCGGTGACTGTCTGGATGACTTTGCCCCGCTTTCAATGTATAATGCAAGCACAGTGTTTAACCAGCCTGCAGGCAGCTGGTGGGGAAATTGTTTAAGGCTTGTGTTTCTCTCTTTCAGTCCCCTTGGCTTTTTGAAAGCCCATTTTCCGCTTGAGGGGAGCTATTCTTTGCTGGACGTGATCCCCGCTTTGCCCTTGGGATGGAGGAACATGGCACATAATGTTGTCAAGAGGGGCCGAGGGAGGGACTGGAGTGAAGGGGAGGAGGGCTGGGAAACAAAAGAGAGTTTATGGGTCTTTTGCACACAAGCAGCTGCTCTTTTCTAAATTCAAATTTCCAAAGCTTCTGTTTACTCTCCTGTTAGATACCTTGTGGATATCAGAGCAAGAGTCTCTTGTGACTAACCTCAGTTTCATAGAATCATAAAATCAGAGAGTTGGAAGAGACCACATGAGCCATCTGGTCAAACCTGTGGTGGAATGAAAATCACACATAGTTCACATCTTTACCAATCCACACACTCTCTTGCTAGAGAAAAGATATGCCACACAGATGATCAGTAAATAATAAGGTGTTTACTCTTTGTTATGCAGAGCAACATGTATATAGTCATTAGAAGAGTTGCATTGACTCACACAATGTCCTTTGAGAGATATTCAAATGGCCCTTAGGTGTCCATGTGAAGGATCTTCTTCCCACAACCAAGAAGCAAAAATACAAACTCTGTTGGCAAGGTCCTGCACCAAAAACTTAAACATGTAACTGTTGCCAAAACTCTCAGGCTCAGCTAGCTTCTGGACATGGCCCAAACAATCAGCTCTGTGCTTTGCATTTTTCAGTTAACACACTCACCAACTGATTTTTTACATGCTCAAACACAACTCCCTACCATGTAGAAAAAGCACAATCAAAATTTGATGGCCAGGCCTGAAGTTCATGATTTCTTTAGTGGAGCTAGATCAGACCAGATCCTTCAGGCAATGAGGCTGGTGTCCAGAAACATGTAAATGGCCCATATGTACTTCAAGGCTGATGTCAACAATACTGGGACATCCTTGGCCACTTATTAGAGTTTAACCACTATGATATGGTTCTTTTGCTAGTACTGGGACTTGTCTTCTTTCCCTACCTTCCACCCCAAATATAGTGTCACTTTAAGGCAGTGGTTCTAATGCCATGACCCCTTAATACAGTTTCTCATGTTGTGGTGACCCCCAACCATACAATTATTTTATTTATACTTCAGAACTGTAATTTTGCTACTGTTATGAATTGCAATGTAAATATCTGATATGCAGGATGTATTTTCATTCACTGGACCAAATTTGGCACAAATGCTCGATACGCCCAAATTTGAATACTGGTGGAGTTGCTGCAGCGGGTGGGGGGATTGATTTTGTCATTTAGGAGCTGTAGTTGCTAGCATTTATAGTTAACCTGCAATCAAAGAGCATTGTGCATTCCACCAACAATGGAATTGAACCAAACATGGCACACAGAACTTCCATGACCAACAGAAAAGACTGGAAGGGTTTGGTGGGCACTGACCTTAAGTTTTGGAGTTGTAGTTCATCTACATCCAGAGAGCACTGTGGACTCAAACAATGATGGATCTCCACCAATCTTGGCACGGATACTCAATATGCCCAAATGTGAACACTGGAGATTGGGGAAAATAGACCTTGCCATTTGGGGTTGTAGTTGCTGGGATTTATAGCTCACCTACAATCAAAGAGCATTTTGAACCCCACCAACAATAGAATTGGCCCAAACTTTCCACACAGAACCCCCATGACCAACAGAAAATACTGTGTTTTCTGATGGTCTTTGGTGACCCCTCTGATACCCCCTTGTGACCCCCCCAGGGGGGGGGGGTCTTGATCCCCAGGTTGAAAAACACTGCTTTAAAGCATTGTGAGGCATTTAAAATGGATGCCTCCCTTGTCTACTGGAAGAGGACACATAATGGGGCTCTCCATTGAGGATCCCTTTCAGTTGTGTATACTATATCACAAAACCAGTTTCAGACCTACTGAATTGTCAAGACAACCATGCCAGTGAAAAGTTCTGGTGTGGGGGGCAAAATTGCACTTCTCATTCTATGAGGACTTTAGAAGTCTATTGCAAACAATGATCAAAACCACCTCATGATTATAGAGGGGAGAGTTATTTAGGAAGATCCATGACAGATTAAAGGCAGTTTTCAAAATGGCTTGGATTAGCACTGTAGAGCAAGCAAGCTATCAGAAGACCAGTGTCTTTTAAAATAAAGATATGGTAATAGCTATCAATCTGTTTTTTTTTAAGACTTTTCCTCAGTCCCTTTCTCTGCCTCTCTCATTTTGCTGCCTCCTCTCTCTTTGCCAGATGGGCCAGATGCTTATTATCAATAATCGTATAACACTTTAAAAATATCCAAACTTGTTGCAACACTTATTTCACAGCACCTCTGTGAAAGAGGAGGAAGGCATTATTTTTCCATTTGTATAGAGCAAAACACTTTCCGAGTGTTCGCAGCACTTCATGTACATTACCTCAGTAATAATTCATCTCAGATTATGCTTTCCCAGGGCTGAGCAAATTATGTGGTTTGTCAAAGGCTGGCAGGTATGGAATTCAGCAAATGTTTGACACTGGAATAACCCCTGTTTCTTCTGTTTCTCAGACACATGTCTTCACAGATAAAGAAGATGATGAGCTGCAGGAAAAACTGGGTAATCCAGCCTTTGGCATTGTGCAACATCTGCTAACTGACTTCTTTAAAGTGTGTATTAAGAAGTGTCCATGGTTAACAGCATCCTGACATAGACAGCATTGGGGAAGGGATGTCACTCAGTGGGAGACAGCATGTTTTACAGTCAGAAAGGCCAGGGTTCAGTTCCTGGCATCTGGAAGTGGAGGTATTAAAGCTTCCTATCTGGGAGATCCTGCCAGAAGGTGAAGAAAACACTGAGGTTGATAGACCACTGGCAGCTTTCGATGCTTATGCCTAAAACTGCTTCAAGAGGCAGTATGGCTAAAGATCTGCTTGCAGCACATGTCTCATTAGAAACAACCTGATGAGAGCCCCCTGAATTTGCTTTTCCACTTCACTATTGCAACAGGAGCCTCCAGTGGCACAGCAGGTTAAACTGCTGAGCTGCTGAACTTGCTAACCAAAAGGTTGATGGTTTGAATCTAGGGAGCAGGGTGAGCTCCTGCTGTTAGCCCCAGCTTCTGCCAACCTAGAAATTCAAAAACATGCAAATGTGAGTAGATCAGTAAGTACCACTCCAGCGGGAAGGTAATGGCACTCCATGCAGCCATGCCAGCCACATGCCCTTGGAGTTGTCTACAGACAACGCCTGCTCGTCGGCTTAGAAATGGAAATGGGCATCAACCCCCAGAGTTGGACACGACTAGACTTAATGTCAAGGGAAAACCTTTATCTATTGCAACCTCCTTTGTTGTAAGACAGCGTTACTGCTTCCCAGTCCCTTTTGTGATAGGTAAAGTTGGACGTAAGTGCAATGGCCCAGATCTTTGATGCTATTTGAAAATGGAAGGACATGCCCGCTTTTTCCCAATTAACTTGGCTTCAGAATGGTTTATCATGAGTCTCAGTCCAGATATGTTTCACTGACAAGGCCCTTAAGGTAATATAACAAAACTGTTTTTAGATCTTCAGGTGTCAAATAATGAATAAAGTCTTTTATCATAGCTTGCACAGTTCTTCCAATCCTTTGAATTAATAGACACCCCTCCTTCCCAATAAGAAGGAAATCTGCATGAAGTAAATAACTTGGTTTTGAAAAATACAGCTCCCATCTGCAGGCTGTTAAGTAGCACATTGTGTTCCTCTTTTTAATAAAAAATGGTCAGCTAATATTTAGAAAACCACTTTTTAAAAATTGCATGTCATAAATGTTTAGGTTATGCTCATTTGTTGCTACGGTCCTGTCCATTCGCCTTCTAGACAATGCTTCTGTGGACGACATATCTCATTTCCCCAGTGCTCAGAACTTCAGTAGCTTGTTGCTAAGAAAATGAGTTTCTTTTCCTGGCTCCTGCTATCATTGCTAATGTAATTACTGTGCATAAAATAATTGGGCAAGTGTCATCCTCACAGTACCCCATATGTCGTGCCTGGGAGGAGAATGATGACCAGCATCGCACAACTCCCTTCCACCCAAATGACATTACTGGGCCTCATAAAAATAAATAAATCTTTGTTGGCTCAACACTCCCCCACCTGTTTTGATATTAATTGTTTTTCTGAGCATCCCACAACGATGATTCTTAAAACAAAAATGTAATGTAACTCTGCACATTGCAAAAATGGCAAATTCTAAGTGTTTGTTCCGGTTCCTTGTTTGTTGTGGAACAAAAAGAGAAGAAAAAGGAGAGAGAATTATTCTAATGCCTATGAGCAGCTTCTGTTTTGGATGGTACTAATGCTTTATCAAAAAACAGGGCAAAGCAGAACATAGATCTGCAAAAAATGTATGCATGTGCGTTTATATGAACCATTGCAGATGTGAAAAGAATCATTATAGTTTACATGGAAATACATCATGCTATAGTGGGAAAGACTGTGACTATATCGACCATTCACACTGCAGATTATAGCTATTTGAGACTCTTTAACTGCCATGCCTCCATCCTATGAATTTCAGGAGTCTGTAATGTGTTGTGGCACCATCACTCTCTGACGGAGAGTGGAAAATCTCTCACAAAGTTACACATCCCTAAATTCCATAGCATTAAGCCATGACAGTTAATGCAGTATCAAACTGCTATAATTCTGCAGTGTGGACAGAGCTGGTGATCTATGTGGCCTTCTCAGTCTACTAATCTGGTGCTCATGATTGATGAACAACCTCCATCCCTGCTTCTTTACTCCTAAGGTGGTTCACTATCTTTACACTAGAGTTGCACAGGTAGCCCTGCAAATAGAGGAGTGGCCTCTGTGAAGTAGGAAACATGACTCCCTGAGATTAGCTGTCCTAGCCAACAGCTGCCTTCCTCCAATATGGGGGCTCTTTGGAAAGAGTAGGGCAATACTCCACCTGGGGGAACATTGTGGGTCAGTATCTCCTTGTTTATTATAGGACAGTGGTTCTCAGTCTGTGGGTACCCAGATATTTTGGCTTACAACCTACAACTCCCACAAATCCCAGTCAGTTTACTAGCTTTAAGATTTCTGGGAGTTAATATAATAATAATAATAATAATAATAATAATAATTTCTTTATACCCTGCTACCATCTCCCCAAGGGGACTCAGGCTTACATGAGGCCAGGCCCAACAATTACAACAAAGCAAATACACAACATAAAAATACATCAATAAAATATAATGAAAATAATAATACAAAAATACAAAGTTAACACGCAATGCAATATAAAACCACAATAATTGAACACAATGGGCAGGGCCAGTTGCAAAGATTAAAAGGTTTAAAAAAACTCTAGGTGAGATGAGCAGTGTAGTGTATCTGGAAGGAGGTTCAGGTGGGACAAAACAATGGGGTTTAATTGCACTAGAGGGTGAGATAAAGTGGGTCCAAGGGCATTTTGTGCAGGGTTTGGTCAAGGTCGGGGACTGTTGTTCATTCATTGAAAGCACACTGGAACAGGCAGGTTTTTAGGCTCTTCCTGAAGACTGCCAGGGTGGGGGCTTGCCTAATTTCTTTAGGGAGCGAGTTCCTGAGCCGAGGGGCCACCACAGAGAAGGCCTTCTTCATCATCCCCACAAGTTGCGCTTGCGACGGGAGTGGGAGCGAGAGAAGGGCCTCTCCGGAAGATCAAAGGGATCGTGTAGGTTCGTAGAGGGAATTGAGTTGAAGGCCAAAACATCTGGGGGCCCACAGGTTCTGAAGCGCTGTTCTAGGAGCTGCATATACTCTAATATATTCTATGTATTTATTTATTATATTTATATACTGCTCTTCTCAGCCCTCAGGCGACTCAGGGCAGTTTACAGGGGCAATGATTTGATGCCCAATTTTTAAAAGTCATGAACAGCTTAGACCCCTAGACCAGGCATGGGCAAACTTTGGCCCTCTAGGTGTTTTGGACTTCAGCTCCCACAATTCCTAACAGCCTACTGTAAGGAAATGTGGGAGTTGAAGTCCAAAACACCAGGAGAGCTGAAGTTTGCCCATGCCTGCCCTAAATTCAACTGAGGCCTTTACATTATAGTTATAGCACTGGTATTCCTCTTTAACTGCCATGATCCCATCCTGTGGAGTCCAGGGACTGATACAGTTTAGGGAGGGGCATTTAGACTGATCAGCCAGAGAACTCTAACATCTCATAAAACGATCATACTCTTGATTCTGTAGAATGTTGCTCTGGCAGTTAAAACTGCATGATGTTGTTCTGTAGTGCAAAAAGGCCCTTGGAGAGCCCATTGATGGGCTATGGTGGAGTGTAGCAGGAGAGTGTGACCAACATCCTCCTTGATGCTCTGATCTGCTCCCCAGAAGCCCATGGGCTTTTGAAGGGTGTCTGAAATGGTGCAGCTAATGAGTAATTGAAAAGACTTGAGCTTGCTAGTGACTCAGCTTCCCTTGGGTGAATACTGAGACTATAGGCTGCCCTCCAGTTTGCCCAGGGAAAATGCATTCTCCCTGGTGCAACTCCAGCATCCAGGCATCCTCCCACCCATTTTTTTCTACTTTGTAGTTTTCATTCATGCAACTCTTTTCTTGTCACAGATTTAATGGTGTGAGGGAAAGGGAGATTGTGTGCACTTCATCAGGAGTTTCCTTCAGGGTCATGAGACCAGGGTCAGGATGGGTTCAAGGGCTGATGGACCTGTCTCACTCCAGGTGGCATAGATATGATATAGTAGGTATGCCCCTACATGGATTCTGCACCTGAAATCCTCAGAAAATAGACTCAGTGGTTGGTGCTTGCTGCATGACAAGTAGGGACCCTTCCACACAGCCATGTAACCCAGAATATCAAGGCAGAATAATCCACAATATCTGCTTTGAACTGTGTTATCCGAGTCCACATGACCATATATCCCAGTTCAAAGCAGATAATGTGACATTTTATTCAGCTGTGTGGAAGAGGCCTAGGGTATCTGATTCTTGGGCTGTGTCTCATTTTAAGCCAATACTGTACAGCTCTGAACATTGACACTTGTGATCTTGCTCTCAAAATATTATCTCTGTATGAGCCTGGCTCTCTTTAGCTATGTTAGCCTCCTGCTGCTAAACCTACAAATCCAGATAGCTCTCAATGTTTATCCAAAATTTTTGTTTGTTTTCTCACTAGGTGATCATGTGATAGTCACAAACTGCTCCGCAGACCACAGCCATCCAGCACTTTCTTGCAAAATGGCAGCAGAGTTGGATGCATTTTTAGCAAGTGGCCTGAGGTGAGCAAACCTATTGGATTTGGGCAGTGCATCCAGGGATCAATATCCAGGCAAACTTAATGGGGGTTTGAAGAGCATTATATTGATGTATGAGTGTTGTCAATAAATGTAAATACTTGCTCCATAGCTTATTTCTAATGTAGTGATTGATCAGCATTTATTATTCAATCTGTTTTTTTCCTTTGCTAAATGCCTTTGGTGTCAACCAATAACTGGGGCCACCTGAGGTTACTGTGAAAATGAAAACAGCACTTACAGAAGTGAAGTTTCATTGATCACAGCTTGAAATGTTACTGCTAGTTGTGTTGAATGAGAGATTATGGGGCTGGATCTACATTGTCCTATATCTCAGGATCTGATCCCAGATTATCTGCTTTGAACTAGATGATATGAGTTTACACTGCCAGATAACCTGGGACAAGCAGATAAGTTGGGACCAGATCTTAGGATATAGGGCAGTTGTAGATCCAGCCTGCAATGCTAGAAATTGTAATAAAAAAGCAACTTCTACAAACTGTGATCCTGATAAAATGCACTTCTGAACAATTTTTAGTTTGCTTCAGGAGGTGAATTGACCTTGTGAACGGGAAGGTTAATTTCCTCTAAAATTGCTATTCCAACCCTCTGTGTATTTTACTTATGTATAAGGCTAGGAAATGATTGAGATTTCACTCATCACATTACCTTTCTACAAACACTATTCCCCAAACGGATTGCATGTTTTCCCCAGCAGATGTAATTAAGAAAAATGGGTACGTATGTGTCTCAATGCATGAAGGTTGAAAAAGCTCAGCCTGTTTGGGAGGTAGAGTTCAATATCTTGGAAAGCTTCTTTACAGTTCATAGCAAAACATTGACATTGTTTGGCCCTCAACAAGAAGTGCTCTAGCTTAGATTGAATTGGTAGGATGGACAGTGATTGAAATACTGTTCAATCCCGAGCAACAGTTCTATAGAATTAAGTTGAAACTGTACCCTCCATTTGAATGTCTCAACTGAGTTTTTCCTTTTTCTCCTCCAGTTGGTTTTGTCACCTTGATGATGATAACTACCTGAACCCACAGGCTTTGCTGAATCTCTTGACTTCCTATTCTCCAGACAAAGATGTTTATATTGGGAAACCAAGCTTGAATAGACCAATTCATGCCTCAGAAACATTGCCTAACAACCAGACAGTAAGTCCAATCCTTCTCCTCCTCCTCCTCCTCCTCCTCCTCCTGTTATTGTTGTTGTTGTTGTTGTTGTTGTTGTTCTTCTTCTTCTTCTTCTTCTTCTTCCTCTTCCTCTTCTTCTTCTTCTTCTTCTTCTTCTTCTTCTTCTTCTTCTTCTTCTTCTTCTTCTTCTTCTTCTTCTATCCCTCATAGCCAGAGGATGATGGTCCTCCAAGTGTAGTGTCTTGGTGGTGAGTCCATAGATGGCTGTGGAGCCCTATTTTTGATCCGCATGTTTTCCCACAGTGAGGACATTGGTTTCCAGGTGGAGGGTGGTCCTGGCCAGGGTTGGCTTGACGTACCTTCCTCTTGGCACGTTTCTTCCTTTCTCCGTCCATTTGTGCGTCTTCAAATTCTGCAGCACTGCTGGCCACAGCTGACCTCCAGTATGAGTGCTCAAGGGCCAGGGCTTCCCAGGTCTCAGTGTCTATGCCGCAGTTTAGTAAGTCCAATGCTTGATCCAGGAATTATGCCTAAGCAGCAGATTGGTTGGCTGGGGCTTCTAGAGGAAGTAAGGAATAATTTTCTAAAAGAACTTCTATCTTTTTATATTTTCAATTTCATATCATGTTGATCGTGTTGATCCGGTAGCCGCCCTGAGTCCCCATTGGGGAGATGGTGGTGAGGTATAAATAAAGTTTATTATTATTTTCTCAGCAGCAAATGATAGGCTCCTAAAACATAGAAATTACTAACTCTTTTCAATACTCTTCTTCGAGCCTATTGGAAGCAGGAATATAGCCCCATGGCTATTAACAAAATGGTTGCCACATTTAAAGGAACAGTAAATAGTGGAAGACTTTGATTCAAGGATGGGCAAAGTGTGGTCTTTTAGATGTTAGTGGTTCCCAGCATTCCTTACTGTGATGTCTTAGCCTAAGATCTCTCTCCCTCCTGTAAACTTCTAGTAAACTTATTTGGTTGATTTTAACTTGTCTCTAGAGTCTTATTTTAAAGAAATAAAGTACATAAAGGGTATACTGATAACCACTGGGGAATAGCCAGACACATATTTTTCCTTCAATCCCCGGCGTGCCATCACACTTACCATTGCCTGAGGGTGATAGGTTAGCATAGTTGGCACAGAGCAAGCTACATGGCCTAATCAGTTCCTTACTCCAACACCTTGTCACTCTTTAGTACAGGCAGTCATGTCACTCTGCTTCATTACAATACTATATTATGTAGACAGGAAGTCTGACCAAGCATCAGGCAGCTTTCTACAGCATAGCGTAAGCTGGTAAAACATAGAAAGGAGGAAGCCTAGAAACATTGTACTCCCGCCACCCCAATCAACAAACAAACAAATACATATTAAATGTAAATAAATATTAAATATTAAATGGAGTATATCTCATAACAGGTATGTGCTATTCCAATTAATCACTGAAAGAAAAAAGTACTGGTTAAACTATTAAGCATGGCGTCTAAAATTACATAACAGCACTGCAGTCTGGAATTCTCCCAAGGCTACCTCATTTTGATAGAAGAGAGGCAATTTTTTGGTTAGAGGGAGAATGTATTTTACAAAATAGGAAACATTTAGAAGTAAATATTAAATTTGCTCTTTTCCATAATGGTTGGTGGATCCCATGTCAGTGGGGCTCTGAATCTACTCTGGCTTTTAAGATGAACCGGAACAAGTTATATAAGGGTCCTTCCAGACATAGCTAAATCCTGGAAGGAAATGGGATATTAAATCCCGCATTCTTCGGTATTTAGTCCCTACCCCCATTCCAAACCCTGTACTTTCCCTGCGGTCGGCTACATGCCCTTCTGGGTCAAACACTGGTTAACCCAGGATGGCATCCAGCCCCCCAGCCCCCATTTCCATCTCCCATCCCAACACCCCACTCTCCCTCAAAACCTACTTGAGGGGCCTACCAGCAGTGTAGGCCCCTCAGGAAATCTCTCCTGACACATGAAAATGAGGCATCAGGAGTGGGGAGGGAAATCCCTCATCCCCACTCTTGATGCATCATTTTTGACTACCAGGAGAGCTGTCTGGGTGGACCCGTCCCGCTGACAGGCCCCACTGGTAGGTTTTGGGGAAAAGTGGGGGATTGGGAGGGGAAGGGAGGGAATGGGTGCCTTCCTGCTCCTTCTGGCTCTTTGAGCCCAAAGAACCAGGATGGCTGTAGGGATTGACCCCCAGGATCGTGAAAGCAGTCCCAGGAGTCAATCTCCAAAAGACTCTCACCTGAAAAGATCTGGACCTTAGCTTAAAGTCTAGATCTTTCCAGGTGTTTTATTAATTTGGAGCAAAATGGGAATCCCAGTTTACTCTGGATTAATTCAGTTTTACCTGAGGCATCATTTGGACACCTCATATAAAACTGAGAAAGGTCCTGCATTTTGGGCCTGTCTGGAAGGGCCCTTAGATGCTGAATCAATTTGGAAATGTCTATTGTATCTTTCGTTCAGCCAATAGAAACTGATTGGACCACCTTGCTAATCTTCTGCATATTTCATATTGTAATTCAGTTGTTTTTCTCCATCCATTTAGAAGTCAGTGTATTTTTGGTTTGCCACTGGAGGTGCTGGGTTCTGTATCAGCAGGAGGTTGGCCACCAAGATGGTTCCCTGGGCAAGGTGAGCAATGAATCTGGCAGATATGGGATCTTGTTAGATCAGTAAGAGATTGTATATGAATGCTTCTGAGGGATGGCTCCATACCAGGCATAGGCAAACTTCGGCCCTCCAGGTGTTTTGGACCGCTTGTTAGGAATTGTGGGAGTTGCAATCCAAAACACCCGGAGCACTGACATTTGCCCATGCCTGCTCCATGCCTTTCTCTAACAAGAAACTGCTTTCCTAAATCCCATTCATGTGGTTGGATATCTGTGCAGTTGAGGGTTATTTCCCCAATGGATATGTCTAACTCTTCTCCAATGTGATCAGGTCTGAGTAGCAAACCAATCTGGAAGGCAATTTAAAATTCACATTATTCCAGGCAAGAGGGAAAATAATAGTCATGTTACTTAAGAACATGATAATCAACTCTGAAGTTAATAGATGTGAAACAGGGGAAAGATCATATGCTAAACTAGCATGTTTGTACCCCACAGCATATTGGGAACAGCATATTTATAAGCATATTGTAGAAATAAGAATTTATGTGTAAACCAGCTTTTCATTACCTGGCACTTTCCAGGACTTATGATATTAATTATCTTCAGCCATCATGGCAACTGTAGTCCTGCATATTTGGAGTCACCATTTAAGAATGTGTGAAGGTATGTGTGAATGTGTACATAAAGAAGAGTCAGTATGTAAATGCAAACTTAGACCCCTTCCACACAGTTGAATAAAATCCTACAGTATCTGCTTTGAAGAGGAATATATGGCTGTGTGGACTCAGGGCCCTTCCACACAGGTCTATATCCCAGAATACCAAGGCAGAAAATCCCACAATATCTGCTTTGAACTGGGTTATCTGAGTCCACACTCAGGTAACATGGGATTTTCTGCTTTGATATTCTGGGATATAGGGCTGTGTGGAAGGGTCCTGAGTCTCCATGGCCAAATAGGGATTCAAATTTTACTCTCTCAGACCAAAGCACACTAGTAATTCCAACCTACAGTTTTTATTTTAATTATTATTTATTTATTAGCTTCAAGAATGAGAGCATAATTAAGAACCAAAGTAAAAGAAAAATAACGCAAAAGGGGAAGGGAAAATAAGAAAAATGCATGCACATATATAACTTCTATACTGCCATATAAAATCCAGATAATCTGCTTTGAACTGGATTATATGTCAGTATAGACTCATATAATTCAGTTCAAAGCAGATAATGTGGATTATCTGGTTTGATAATCTGGATTATATGGCAGTGTAGTAGAGGTCTAAGACAAACTATTAAAACACAATACTAAAACCTTCAAACCAAACTGTAGTTCAAGAAAAAAAGAAAGAAGAATTATATTTTTTTTCTTTCATTACAGATTGAACTACAAATTACTAATAACCATTGCCACAAATTATTACATTGTTAAATTTCTTATTGTTCAAAAAGGTTATAAATCTTTCCAAAAAGAAAAACAGACCGTCTTCTGTTGGTTTGTCCTTTAAAACTTGTGTTAACTTGTCAATTTGACCTATCTTGGCAATCTTAATGCACTCTTCCATCATGCGTGCTTCTGTCTGTTTCTAAGTTTGAGCAAATAGTGTTCTTGAGGCTATTATCACATATCAAAGAAGTAGTCCATGCTTGCTGTCCAATTAATTATCCATAATATCCAACAAATACATTTCTGGTGACACTGCACGATCTCCCTTTAATTTTATTGGAATTAGCACATAAATCTTAGATCAGTAGTTTTTCACTTTCTTACACATTCACCACATATGAAAAAAAGAAGCTTCCCTTATCTTGACAGCCCCAACGTTGGTTAGATTGAGCCATTTTGTTAATACCATCTTTCAGTCACAAAGATAAAATTGTTTATTCTTTCCTGATATATAAACAGTTTCAGCTTTTATCTAGGTGTCATCTACTTTGATTGATAGTCTGTTTTATATTTTGATTTCATTGTCAGATGCAGCAATTGTTATATTTACAGCAAGCCAACAAATAAAAAAAAATGATAAATAGACAAAGTAGTGCTTTTTCCACTGCTGATCCAGTGTTCGTGGGTAATGGTGGAGGACTTACAAATGACTCACAGTTAAGAAAGAGGGGTGAGACAACAGAAAGTGAGAGAAATCTATCCCTCCACTGAAGCTTTCTCACCAATCCTTGTTTCCACAACAAGCCAAATTTTCCAAAAACCAATGATCACAGGGACAGAAAGTGAGGGGAAATCTTGTGAACAGGGGCATAGACAGCAAAACATACACCATAGGGGTGTTAACCCTTCCCTATGCTATCTAAAGTAAGTGTGTGTGTGTGTGTGTGTACACACACACACACTTTATATGAGGCTGGAGTTACACTTAAAAAATTTACGTGTTCCAACTTACAAAGAAATTGACTTAAAAACAAACCTGCAGAACTTGGGGACTGCCTGTATAAGGGTATAAACATGAGATAGCAGAATTAAACATATCAGTAAAAAAGGTTTTAGATAGTTGTTAATAGTCACAAGTAAGCTTAAAGGTCGGTTTATTGTGATAGTGCTGAAATTTCTAATTGTGTCTTTTTCATTTTGCTTTCTGACCACCAGCGTATTAAAACAGGAATACCATGGGTCGCTGTGAGTATTCCAGGCTGTATGGCCATGTTCCAGAAGCATTCTTTTCTGACGTTACACCCACATACATGGCAGGCATCCTCAGCAGTTGTGAGGATTGTTGTGGGAAAAAAGTCAAGTGGGGTTTATTGATTTGTGGAATAATGTCCAGGGTGGGAGAAAAAGCTTTTGACTATTTGAGGCAAGTGTGAATGTTGCAATTGATCACCTTGATTAGCACTGAAGAGCCTTTCAGCTTCAAGGCTGAGCTGCTTCCTGCCTGGGGGAATCCTTTGTTGGAAGGTGATTAGCTGGCTCTGATGGTTTCTTGTCTGAAATTCCCTGTTTTTGAATGTTGTTCTTTACTTACTGTCCTGAGTTTAGAGTTTATTTTAGTACTGGGATCCAGATTTTGTTTGTTTTAATGGTTTTCTCCTTTCAGTTGAAAATTTCCATCTGCTTGTGGATTTCAATGGCTTTTCTGTGTAGTCTAACATGGTAGTTGTCAGAGTGGTCAAACATTTCTGTGTTCTCAAATAATATGCTGTGTCCAGGTTGGTTCATCAAGTTCTCTGCTATGGCTGAATTCTCTGGTTGAATCAGTCTTTCATGTTCCTTGGTTCATGTTTGGGCACTGCAACATTCACACTTGCCTCAAACAGGCAAGAGTCCCTTCTCCAACCCTGGACATTATTTCAGATATATAAACTCCACTTGCCTTGTTTCCAACAAACCTGATGCCTGCCATAGATATGGGTGAAACGTCAGGAGAGAATACTTCTAGAGCATGGCCATACAGCCCGGAAAACTCACAGCAACCCAGTGATTCCAGCCATGAAAGCCTTTGACAACATCAGGAATACCATGTTTGGACCATTTTGTAAAAGGTAGGATTAACCCTCTAGCAAAAGAAATGAAATCCAGTTGAATTAGATATGATGTCAAAGTTTTTCAGAGCAAAGGGAGAGATACAAAGATGATATTTCTTGAAAAGGTTATATTTTGGGATCCCAGAGTTCTCCAGCTGTTGTGATCTCTGCCGGCTACATTGACAGGTGGATTCTGGGACTGCTAGTCCACTCCCCCCCCCCCCCCCCCCCCCCCCCCCCAACAAGACCTGGTGATGGTAATATAGAGAGATCTTCTAAATGCAAAAGGAAGCAGCTGGATGGCCGTCTATCATGGGTGCTTTGACTGCAATTTTCCTGTTTCTTGGCAGGGGCTTGGTCTGGATGGCCCATGAGATCTCTTCAAACTCTATGATTCTATGAAAAACTATACACTGTAAAATTAACGCAACCCGACACCTCTTTAACAGTTATAACTAAATTATATGGAATCCTGGTAGTTGTATTATAGTGTGACACCAACAGGATTTGGTAGAGAAGGTGAAACACACTGTAAAGCTACAATTCCTACAATTCCCTAACACTGAGCCATGGCAGTGCTGTCAAGCCGCATTAATTCTACAGTGTAGATGCATCCTTTAAGTGCAGTCCCACACACATATTTTATTCTTTGGTATAAATGCAGAAGACTCTGCTCAAAGTCTTCAATATCTTTGATGTATTGCCTCTTTTGCATTTGATCTCTTTTGATAGATCTTTCTTCATAATACATAATATGAAGCAAAGAAATGGAAACAAAGGAATACTTCATTTTTAGAGACAGTGCAAAGACAAGTTTTAAAAGTTGTTTCATGAATTAAAAAACTCCTTCAACAACAAAACCCAAACATGTGTTTTTACATTGTTCATTCCTGTAATGAACAAACAAGGTAAACTGTTCTACAGACATATTATCTAGCTGGCACTTTGCCCAAATGCTTATATAATTGTCAGTTTAGTCATTCTGGCTATTTGCCAGTCCTTTCTCACACAGCCATTAATCTTGGGATTTTGGAAGTGTTGCCCTTTTCCCAGTTAGCTGTCAAATTACTCTTGGTGGCACATAAAAGGTTAATAATAATATATTGTCGAAGGCTTTCATGGTCTGAATCACTGGTTGTTGTGAGTTTTTCGGGCTGTATGGCCATGTTCCAGAAGCATTTCCTCCTGATGTTTCACCTGCATCTATAGCAGGCATCCTCAATAGGATGCCTGCCATAGATGCAGGTGAAACATCAGAAGAGAATGCTTCTGGAACAAGGCCATACAGCCCGAAAAACTCACAACAACCCAGTTAATAATAAGTTTGAGATCACATGTTTGAACTTTTCCATGCATATTACAATAGGAGAGAGAGGGATTGAGAAAAATAAATGTATGTTTGTGGATTTAGTGATAATTGGTAATCTAGCTGTGAAAAATCTGTCAGTTTTACTTCATTGCTGTGAAAATTTGCGAAGATGCCACTAATTTGTGATGAGGCCACCAATTTGTAAATGTTGGTAAAGGAGCCACCACTATGTAAGGGCT